GTTTCAACTAATTTATTTTAGAAAATTAGTAATCTGAAATAAACTTGAAGTACTAAGATTTGATATTGATTGCTCCTTTAATCTTTTAATTTTTTTCACAAAAAATAATAGAATAATAATATTAAAAAACAGCAATTCAGGGCTCACCCGGAAGTGGGCGCTGTAGCGCCGAACATCAATTGCCTAGACAATCGTTGAAACAATAAATCTTGTTTTCCTTTTATCAATCAATCAAAGGGCGCACAACCCCATTATCCACTGTCCCGTTTAGTACCAGATAGCCTTTTGTAACCGCCTGATTTCTGACTAATCCACTGAATCCCACGAAAATTTTCCAATAAAACAATCAACAATTGTCCATATCCTTGTGATCCGAGGAACCCTTAATTCCAAATCCATTAATCAAACTTTTGTCACACAGAATTCTGTGCCAATAAATCTTGGAAACTTATCATAATTAATTCAAACACTTTTTTTTTTAAATTTCATCAAGAAACTCCAATTTTTTTAATTAAAATTCCAAAAAAAATAAATCTGAATCTTTAAAATTCACATCCCAAAATTTAATGCATGAATTTCAACCATAAAGTTCTTCCTTAAATTTTAATGGTTTAACCCGGAGTTGACTCTGATACCACTTGTTGAAACTTCACAAAACTTTAAAATTTGAAAATCTAATTACATCAAATCACCAAGAAAATTAATACTGCGAAACATACATTAATTCTTTGTAAATAATTTCTTATTACTAGATCTTGAATCTTGATTATCAACTCTTTTGGTTCTTAAGTTTTTTATCTTAATTTTTATTTTTTGGTCCATAATCTTGATTGTCTCGTTCTTCAATTTAATTGTTCCAATCATTCTTCTTCATTCTTGATTTTTCAATCCTTGTTCTTGATTGTGAATTTTAAATCTTACTTTTCAATATATTTTCTCTTGTATTCTTGTATTGATGAGATGACACAAATAATGAGAAATTGTATATGAATGAGGGACCATAAGTATTTGACCCATCGTCAAATACAACTTTAATGGATTCAGTCTCTACACATATAATCCGGCCCACACTTTATTTAGATGTCCTAAGTCCAACAATTTAATTCTTTATTAGATCACTTTAATTTGGTTCAACTTTAAGATAGCCTTATACACAAATAATTACATATGTAGGCTCACATGACAATTTAATAAACCCAACATGATATAGGTGACAAGGAGGGACGACAGTGATGACGAGGAAGAGAGGTGGTGGCGACGTTGACTGTGAGGGGGTGGTGGCAGGATTGATTTTAGGAAAATTCTATTTGTACATAATTTTTTACTTAATGTTTTACTGAATTGACAAGTGGCGGCTCCAAACATTAGGTTGTAGCATAACTCTTGATTTTAATAAGAGTTCTTCACAGAGGCGCCCCCCCAATAGGGAGCCGCCACTTGTCAATTCGGTAAAACATTATGTATGTGTAGCATAACTCTTGATTTTAATAAGAGTTCTTCAAGGTTAATAAGAGTTCTTTAGGGTTTGATGGTTTGTTTGGAATATTGGAAGAGCTAATCAATTTAAAAGTGGAGTGTCATTGGGTAGGTAAATTTCAGATTTGATTAAAAAGTGTAATTATCAACAAGCATAAATGTAGGGTATATATTATTATTATTATTATTATTTCCCTACAATATATAAAAGAACAAAGTTGGTTACTATTCATAAGGCATCATCTTTGTGACACGTTGATGTCATAAGTACTAATTTTACCTTTTTCATTTCTTCCTCTCAAGCACTACGTAGATTTCTTATCACGGAACAGAGTTTCTCCATTTATCCACACAAGCTCCTGTACATTTTTACTCATATCTTTACACAACCATTCAAGACCTACTTTTTTCTTCTCTCTTTACTATTTATTGTTTAATTTAGCCGGTCTTTTCAATTTGCATTTCCTTAAATCTTATTTTCTCCTCTATTTTTTTTGTCTTTACTTCTCATATCCTCTTTCACTTTCTCTCCATCGTTGTTCTTACTGCCCATTTGAAATCAAACCATATGTAACAAAATCACAAATTATTTTCACTATTTGTTCTTCTCTACGATTCAATCATCATGTATTCCTTTCGGTGAACAATTTTTTTTTTGGAGCTTCTTCATTTCTTCACATGATTGGAACCCTGTCTCCCAAATTTCAATCGATGCTATCGTGTTCGCTTCTTCTTTTCTTAAAATCCGAAAACCCTGCAGTTACTGAAATCAGATGTGCGTTTTTAAATCTTCAATTAGGTGTGTTATTTAAGTCCACCAG